GAGAAGTTTCTTAAACAGTCAACTATAAAACTAAGGATGCCATAGGCACTAGGATGCCAATGAACATACTTTGAGGATTATTGCTCCAGAATGAGCCCATGAAGATCCTGTGAGCCTCAAAGAAAAGTAAGGTCCCAAACAAACTCTCCCTACCAGCCATCAGTCACTATCTTCAAACTGCAGTGTTGGATCAAACAAGGCTGTCATTCCGTACTCTCCTGTCTGCACTTCAGCAAGGGTTTATGGTACTTTTCCACTTGCTGGTCAAATCCCCTGGAAGAGAACCTTGCCTGGAAAAAGTTCACTGGAGTCAGAAGGTATTTTCGGGCTGGGCCCCTGAACTGAGGAGCAGGAAGAAGGGCAGCCTTGCTGTTGTGAGACCGGGAAGAATCCTGACCCACCCAGGCACTCTGGTTCCCCAGGGCTGCTGAGTCATCCTGGCGTCTCCAGGGTACCACGTGAGGCCCTAGACCAACTTCCTCCCCAGTTTCTGGAGAGAGAAATCCCTCATTTCCTGAAGACCTTAAGTGCACTGAAAAACCAAAGGGGGTAGTCTCCTGGGACTCAGAGAAAGGGACTGACCCATCCCATTCTTTGCTGCAGGGGTCTGGGGACAACTGTGTCTTGATCGGCAAAAGACAGTGGGAGGGCTGCCTCTCAAGGTGCCCAGAAAGGTTCTCATTCTTGGCCTTTGGGTCTCTGTCAGCTTGAGATTGATCAGCATTTTCCTCAAGGGATTCAAACACAACACCCTGGGTTCTCAGCCTCTTCGGCCTTCTTTCTAACAGCCAGAGAATGTCTGGTTTTCCAGAGGAGGAACTCATATATTGCTGCACTGAGTCTGGAATCAGGGACATAGACTGCCTGGGGCTCAGGATATCCTGAAAGTAGTCCCAACAGGGCTGTCGCCTGACAATGGGCACCACCTGGCATGGCTTCAGTGCTGAGACAAAGGCATGAAGCTCAGAAAAGGAGGAATGGTCAGAATAAGGGATGACATGGATATCAGGGTGGGAGCGGTGAATTTTCCGGCTTGTGGGAAGGATAGCAATGGTAGGGCAGGTCTGGTTCCAGTGCACCATGGCAGAATGGCAGATCTCCATATGGTCCACAGCATGGATGCGGCCAGCCTTCTCCTCTACCGTGAACACATCTGCCAGGCCCAGCAGCTGCACCAACTCCAGGCGCCGAGGACTCAACACCACCCAGGTCTGAAACTCGAGGGCCAGCTGCTCCAGCAGCGACTCTTTTCCCAGACTATACAGTCCTGAACAATGTTAAAGGGATTGGAGAAAGTAAGAGAAGGAAGAGAATGAAGCTACTGAGGAATCCAAAAAACCAAATATGTAACAACAATCACAAATTAATGGAGCAACCAGGAAGTTTTTAAGGTAGGAGGTGGGTGGCATTTGATTATGGCAACAGATATGGGAGATGTTGTTTAACAGTTGTTCTCAGACCTTTTCTGAAGGTTTATTTCAAGTTCACAACCAGATTGTGAACTCCGTTAAAGAACTTGCATTTTGTTTTTTTTACACCCACCTTATTCTCATCATGGTTCAAAGGCTCACTCTTTGGGCACAGATGTAGCTGATTTTCTTTTCTCGCTCCCTAGCCTCTGAACCTCTACTTTTTTTTAACCTCTTTTAGGTCCTTTACTACTAGACTGTAAGTCCTCATATTTTATTCCTTTTTCTACTCCTGCTGCCTATCATTGTACTTGGTACACAGTAGGGGCTTATTAAATAGTTACAAAACTCATCATGCCCTACTCCAGTACCCTCCTAGCCAGCTGTGCCTCTCTAGGAAAACTCTGTACTGAAAACTCCAAGAACACTTAGGACAAATATTTCTTCATGAGCAGTCAGGCAATCCTGAACGTAGGCGATATTCCTCTATCAATTTGGTAGTCACCCTGGAAGTTATGTAATTTTTTCAGTGCCTTGTTTAACCCAGCTTGAAAACTCCTTTCAGAGTTGGGGCATATCCTTTTAAATATTCATTATGGTGAATAATCCTTTTCTTTTTGTGGATTTATTATAACTTGGGGAACAATCAAAAGCGTCACTTGCAACTAAGTCTATCACATTTTTAAAAACAAACATTGATTTTCATAAACTACCACCAAAGGCAATTCTAAGAGTCTCCAGCATGTTTGGTACTATTGTGGAATCAGTAGAACAAGATACAGTTGGTTTTTCAATATACCTAATCTTAAGCACAACACTCACTTGAATACCTACATCATAATCAGTTTCATTCACTCATATAACAAATATTTATTGAATGCCTCATCAGGCATTAATCTAAGCATTTGGGATATATCCATATGTAAAATAAAGAGTCCTGCCATGGTGGAACTTACATTCTAGCAGAGGTAAAAAATAGTAAAAACTCAAAACAATAAATATGTAAATTACAGAATACATTCACTGTAAGGTGATGTGTGCAATATTGTCTCTCTCCTACTTAACACCCTTCAATAGCTTTGTCCTAAAAGCCATGGTTGTACTTAGGATCAAGTTACAAGCACTTCTGCCTTTCCAGCCTCTTCACCCACTGTGCGCCTGCCTGTCACATTGGCTGCTGCTTCTCTGTTCTACAAGCACACAAGACTTCTTCCCACATCCATCATGCTCTCAAGAAGTTTATGTTTCCGTGTATGTGTGTGTATATGTGTGTGTGTGGCAAGGGAAGGGGGAATCAACAATAATAAACAATAGCATATTAAAACGTACTGAATATGTTGGAAAAAAGTACCGGCATCAGGGGATGGGAATGTGGGAGTAAGCGTAAGAGAAAGGTTGCAATTTTAAATAAGGTGATCAGAATATGTTTCATGGACAGGAGACCTACACAAAGACTTGAAAGATGTGAGAAAACAAAGAACATAGATTCACTAACTATGGGTGAGAGAAAAAGGAAAGGAAACCACTCACCTATCTTTATGTTATGTTGTGGGTACTTGTGAATGAGCTCGACAATCTGGCGGGCAGCTTCTTGTTGGGAAGGAAGTACCAGGGCTGGGTTGCAATTGGTGTTGTCTAGGTATAAGGTATGGATCTGTTTCCCCACACTCAGGGTTGGCTCCTTTAGCATGGACGGTGTATACCGAAAATCACCTGGAAGAGGAATACGTGGGGGTGCAGAGTCAGAAACAAAAGTGAGGACAAGGCTCTCCCAGCTCCAACAACAGATGGACATTTGCTTACTGGCCTGTACAGGGAAAAACATCACGGAGTCTGGCACTGAACTAATATAGTATAGCTTCTCTGTGGCAATGTCTCCATCCTAATAAGGTTTTTTCATTATTCTTACAAGGTTTGGCCTCTGAGAGAGTGGGAAATCAGTTAAGAAATGCTCATATGGGATGAACTTAGGAGGCCTCTGGACTTCTATTATGACTTAAGGCTGCTCAAGAAGAGCAGCCTCTGCTGGGAAGGTGGGGGGGACCCCTCCAGAGGCCCACCTGTGTAGAGGATGGTTCCAAAGTATCCTTCAAAGAGAAACATCACAGAGCCAGGGCAGTGATTGGCATCGATGAGGGTTACAGTCATGGTCTCTCGCCCAAATTCATCTAGAGGCAGGACATGGCTCTCACCAACCTCTAGAGCTCGGATCCACTGCTTAGATACCTGAGGAAAGCAGTTGGTTATCCTAGTGAACACAGACTACGTTCCCTGAATCAGCAAGTATCCCTTTCCCAAATCAGGGGAAGCTGACAAATCTTTGGCCACTTAGCAGCAGAAGCTGTAATGGGATTCCCAAGCAATCTCCCTTTCCTTCTTCCACTCACCACTTTGTGCAAGTTTAAATTAAGAGTCCAGAAAACAGTCTAGTTTTTCTATGAAGGCAATCTCAAACATTCTCTATCATAATAATCCCTTAAGGGCACCTGTTTAAAAAATTCCAACCAGATGTCCAGGACCTGCACCAGCTTTACCTAAATTAGACGAGGGAGGGGGAAAGCACTGGGGAATCTATGTATTACCCAGTACATTAAGTGTAGTCTCTTGATGAGGCAAGTTTGAGAAACATCGGCCTAGTTTATGTGAAAAGAAAGGAACCGTTTCACTGGCTGAACTAAAACCAACTTCTCACTGAAACATTCCAAGTCGGCCAGTTGGAAACCACACTCCTATTCTGGGCTACAGATGAATTCCTGGATACAAACAACTCCTGTATTTGTAAAAATGAGTCTTCCTGGCCCTTGCTCTATGGCTCCAAGGCTGTGCCAGATCGGAAGCCCCACCCAGATACCGGTACCAGCTCTCCGCGGCCTACTCCAGCCCCCCATACCTGTAGCCGACGACGCAAGAGGTAGGCAGTGATTGGGGAGCAGTAGAGGGGCCGCGCCCAGGTGCTAGACAGACCCACGGTGTGGTCCGAGTGCATGTGGGACAAGAAGAAGAGTCGTGCAGAGCCTGCCCTGCGCAGGCTCCAGAAGTCCACAGCGATGGGCGTATGGGGGATCAGGGCCCCGTTCATGGTGGTGGGGTTGGAGAGTTACCAGTGGGGTCTTCATGAGAACAGAGCTCCTGCGTAAGGCTCCTGCAACGGCACCCTAAAAAAAGTCATGCTGGGCAAGAACTGGGCCGGAGACCCAAGGGAAAAGCCAGCCCAGTAAAGGAATAAGTTACTACAGTGGGCAGAAAGAAGTGACCGTGGCAGCGGGAGCCCGCGGGCGCCACTCTAAACCGCGCGCGGAAGCCGGCGCCGCGACACTCCACTCAAAGCGCGCGCTACTGGGCGGAGACAGGCCGAAGTAGCCGACTGCCGATTGGCCGTCGCAACTCCTCCAGAGGGAGCGGCGCGGCTGCGCCGGGAGGTGAGAGGTTGGGGGAAGGGCACCCTGAGGTCGCGGTCCAGCCTACGCTCGGCGCTCGCAGGGTGAAGGTGAGTGGCAGCTGTTCTGCCGGGTCTCTAATGGAGGCGGGACTTCCGCAGAAAGCATGATTGGGTCTATCCCAGACCGCTACCGCGTGGAGGCGCCAGAAAGGCTGGAACCGGAGAGGGAAGGGTCTGCTGACCGCGGGTTCCGGCCTGGAAATGAGGCTGAGGGCCTCGAGGTAGCGGGAGAGATCTATAGGCGGAGCGACAGACCTGAAGGTCTCGGGAAGGAAGCGAAGAGCCCAGAGTGGGGCTCACCGGGGAGCGGAGAGGGTTGAAGTTGGAGTGTGTTAGGGCCAGGGTGCCGGCCGTGGAGGGCCAAGGTTGGGGCGAGATCACCCTTAAGTCTCTTCACCGACTGACATTTCTTTTACCTAGGCAGCCACATCGGGCCTAGAAGGAGTCCACGAATTACCTAGAGATTCGGTGGGAACTGCACCTGACTGTTGGAGGAGATGCCGTACCTTGGCTCCGAAGACGCGGTGAAGGAGCTGAAGAAGGCTCTGTGTAACCCTCACATTCAAGGTGATAGGTTGCGCTACCGGAATGCCATCCAGCGAGTGATTAGGTATAACCTAATAAGTCCCTGCGCTGCAGTTCCCATCAGGGCTCTGAACCAGACCACCCTGAAAGGGTCAATCGACTTACGTACGTGTCAGTTGCATGATTTGGTCTCCCTCCTTCTCTGGAGTGCCATCTTATTCTCCCTAGCGGGACTTAACTTGTTTACTTCGCTGCGCAGTTTCATCCCTATCTTGAGTTTACACTGTTGACTCTAGCACTATAATACATTTTGTACAGACCTTTCTTGTCTTCAAACCCATATATACCTGCTTGGCATTTCCACCCGGATATGTCTTCAAAGACATGCAAAACAGCAGCTGCATCCTTTCCTCTTTCCCAAACCTGTTCTTCCACTTAATATTTGTGTTGGTGAGTGTCACCACCCAGTTGACCAGGCATGGGAGTCAATCTTGATGATGCCTGATCTTCACTTCTCAAGTCAGATGGTGTGGGCTCCTACTTCTAAATGCCCATCATCCCCCCATTTTCTTTTGGCACCTCTGCTGTTGTGCTTTTATTACCAAAGCAATTGTAGTAGCTTACTAGTCAGTCACCTTGCCTCTTCAGTTAAAATGATTTTTTCAACATAGGAATTTGAACATGTAACTCTTGCTCTGCAGCTATGGATCACAAATTTTAGTGTGTACAAAAATCTTTTGGGGTGCTTTTTAAAAAATGTAAATTCTCATATAATCCAGTAATTCTGATTCCAGTAGGGTGGGATGGAACCCAGAAATCTGCATTTTAAACAAGCATCTCATCTGATTCCTGTGGCAGACCATAGTTTGAGAAGCAGTGTTCTACAGAATAAAGTCCAAACATAGAACACAAGGAACACCTGGCTAACTCAACTACCTGCAGACTCTCAAAAGAATGTACCAATCTTGTTCATGTCTACATGCCTCATTGTATATATCATTAACTATTTTCTATACCTGCCTGGTGACCTCCTGCTCATCCAGCTAAAGTATTACTTCTCTGTGGAAACTTTATGATTTCTTAGCAGTGGTCCTCTGGATCCCCTCTGGACTTTGTCTATTAGTTCTGTTACAATACTTATTTATCTACTGTACAGTAATTAGTGGTGCTCTTGTGTGGCTTTTCAGTAGATTTTGAGTACCTAGAGATCTGGGACCATGGCTTCTTCAATATATATCCTCAGAACATATCCCTGGAATGTAAAACCTGAATTTTGCTGGACGGTACTAGGAATTCAATAAATGTTTGAATAAATAGAAGAATATTCATTGCAGCCCATAGTGTGAAACATTGTGTTATATAGACAAGGAAGACCTGGTTGCTTCCCGCTAAGAGATCACAATCCATTTGGATAACCAAGACATGTATACGTAAAGCGCCTTCCATTGTAGATTGGGGACTGTGTATTTCACTTCTTCCTGCTATATGTGTTGGTTTCAGGCACATGACTCAGGGCTTGGATGTGTCTGGTGTTTTCATGGAAATGGTGAAGGCCAGTGCCACTGTAGATATTGTTCAGAAGAAGTTGGTATATCTGTACATGTGCACATATGCCCCCCTGAAACCAGATCTGGCACTCCTGGCTATCAATACACTGTGCAAAGACTGTTCGGACCCTAATCCGATGGTGCGAGGGCTGGCACTACGCAGCATGTGTAGCCTCAGGTGAGCACCCTCTTCCCTGCCTATTTCTCAGTGCGTGGTGAATTGAGGAGGACAAGGGGCCAATTTTTAATGACAACAATTTAATTGAGTTCTTTAATACTGGGGAAAACACTGTTGTAACCTAAACACAGGTTTTTAACCATTGCTCTGGCCTAAGAGACTACAGTGTATGGCTTCATTAAAGGGAGTTTTCCATCCTCACTCTCTGTGAAATAGTTCTTGGTTTTGGATAAAGATTTCTAAACAATTACATGTATATATATATTTTTTGCTGTCTGTGCAGCATTATTCCAAGTGAAAAGGCAAGCATGGCTCTAAGTTTGGCAGCTGCTTTCTCCAGTTCTTTATGATCTGATAGATACCCATTCAGACTTCTACTAAACCCTCTGTTAAATGTATCATGGCTGAATTATCTCAAGCCTAGAATTTTAGGATCTGGCTGACTCCAGAATGTGTTGCTTAGGATGCCTGGTGTGCAGGAATATATCCAACAGCCTATTGTCAATGGTCTGCGGGATAAGGCTTCGTATGTCAGGAGGGTAGCAGTCCTTGGTTGTGCCAAGATGCATAATCTTCACGGAGACTCTGAAGTCGGTAAGTTTTAGTATAATCCATCATGATATTTATTTTTGCCTCCATTTATGCCTTTGTAAATGATTATGTAGCTTTTGTAGAAAATAATAATGTGGCCCCACTTATGTACATGTCTCCCTAAGTAGGATGCAGGGTTTGGTGTGTTCTGGTATTAGAGAAATGCTTTCTTTGGGGCCCAGGTAAGCTCCTTTGCATGAGCTATTTAGAACAGTCTGGAGATGACAACTTTTTTATCTTGCACTTTATTATTGCCTTTGTTATTTTTGTAGCAGAGAAGTTCAGCTTTGTCTCCTTGGAGCTGTTCCTCTGGCTCTATCCCTGTGACTCTGAAGCTTTTCTTCTTTATCTGAGATCTTTGTTCTCTTTTATAGATGGTGCCCTCGTAAATGAATTATACAGTTTGCTGCGTGACCAGGATCCAATTGTGGTTGTGAACTGCCTGCGGTCTCTAGAGGAAATTCTGAAAGAGGAAGGAGGTGTTGTCATCAATAAGCCCATCGCCCACCATCTCTTAAATCGGTCTGGATGCCTCGGGACTCTTTTTCTTATAAATCTGCATCCTAGTGGGATCTTGTTGATGTGTTGAATTAAGGAGAGGTCTTGAAGAACTTCTGTAGAGTAGTAAAGGAAGTTAATCTTTAAATTTAACTTTAAATACTACTTTTAAAAAGTAGTAAAGACACTGACTTCCTCATATTTCATTGAGATATCTTTTATTTGTTTTAGTTTTTTTGGTGATATAGAGAGATAGCAGAAACATTCCATGGAGATAGTCTCTGTCCTATTCTACAGTCATCCTGTCCCCCAAACTAAGCCATTAATGTTGTCTTAAAATGTATGGAATCTGCATCTGAGGTATAGTGATCATGTCTTTGGCCTTAGATTAATATGCATTTGTAGTGTAAGCTCATCTTGGAATTCAAAGCCTATTTTGTGTAAACTTTCAATAGCATGTAAAAAGAATAATTCAATTATGGCACAGCCTATTTTTCAAGAATTCTTCCCTTGTTATGATGAACAGATGATTAGATGATCAGTGACCTGGCAGTAGCATGAAGATGGTCCTAATTTCATTGCCCAAATCATACTATGGTTTTCTTTTTTGGATAGAATGTCAAAGCTAGACCAATGGGGTCAGGCGGAAGTATTGAACTTTCTGCTACGCTACCAACCCCGCAGTGAGGAGGAGCTGTTTGACATTCTTAATCTGTTGGACACCTATCTCAAGAGCAGTAGCCCTGGTGTGGTGATGGGAGCCACCAAGCTCTTTCTGATCTTGGCAAAAAAATTTCCCCATGTCCAAACTGATGTGCTCATGCAAGTCAAGGGAACTCTGCTGGCTGCCTGTTCTTCAGAGATCCGTGAGCTCTGTTTTGCTGCCCTCTGTCATGTGCGCCAGATCTTGCACAGTTTGCCAGGTCACTTTAGCAGCCACTATAAAAAGTTTTTCTGCTCCTACTCGGAGCCCCACTATATCAAGCTACAGAAGGTGGAGGTGCTGTGTGAGCTGGTGAATGATGAGAACGTGCAGCAGGTGCTAGAGGAGCTTCGAGGATACTGTACAGATGTGTCTGCCGACTTTGCACAGGCTGCCATCTTTGCCATAGGTAGGTGTCTGCTGCATTTCCTTTTTGGGAGCTTACACCAACCAGCTAGGAAGCTGTGAAACCATAGGAAGCAAAAGGGAATAAATCTTGCTTCAGAGACAAAGTACCATGCTCCAAAGAATTGTGTCAGATTTTATCAACCTTGCTGTTGTCGTATTTTACAGGATAGAGAATACAAGTAACCCAAACTACAATACTTAAAATTTATGTTGCCTTTTGTTGTCTACTATCCAAAATGCTTTCTTATATATCGTCTTACAACAGTCTTGGGAGGTAGTCAGGAAAAGTGGACAAGTGTTATCAACCTCATTTTAAAGATGAAGAAACTTAGACATAAAAAAGTTACTAAATTGCCAAAAGATCATATAGTTGCTGAACTGGGACTGGAACTCAGCTTTTCTGACTCAGAGTCCTGGGTCAATTCACCAGTTGTTCATTGAGTTTCTGCTCTGGACTGTGTATTGTTCTGAGCATAGTCCAACACAGAATAAATCCTAAATTGTTCAGACTTTTTCATACTACTCTGTCTGGAGCTTAAAAGGCAGGAGTGACTCACAAATGAAAGCAGCTGAGGGGAACTAAGTTTTGGAGGCCTTCAAGTAGAAGAAGAGAAGAACCCTCGTATGTAGAATAAAATAAGGTTATTTTTAGGAGCAGACAAGAGGAAACAAAGGAGAGTGGAAGTCATGCAGTCAGGAGCCTGCTGTCAAGTGTTCCAGCAGGAATATTCACAGGATAGTCACTGAGTGCTACAACAAATGGTGTCTCATATATCTGGCTGCCACTTAAATACCTTGCTGAAAGTTTTTGACCTTGTTCAATGGGAAATTCATTTTTACCAAAGTTTCCTTTATAGCAAACTTAGATTCTTATTTCATCAAGAAAGGGGTGATATTTTTTTTTTTGGTCCTATTTGTCTTTGGCTGATGGGGAAATTTTTTAGATAAGATGTTAGTGTTTGACTTAATAGTTTTGTCTGTTTTCCCTTCCTCTGTAGGTGGCATTGCAAGGACCTACACAGACCAATGTGTGCAGATTCTAACAGAGTTGCTGGGCCTTCGACAAGAGCACATTACCACAGGTAATGGCTACCTATCTAAGTTTTTTTTCTTTTCATCAATTGCCTGGTCTATAATAGTTGCTCAACAACTATTTGTTGTTGAATAACATAGACGTTTACACTTTTCTTTGCATCATCGCTTGTTGCCATCAGAGAAGCATAGGGTCTGTAGATCTAACAGGGTAGAAAGAGTTTAGGTTGCCATGAGTCCACAAGTCTGTTCTTCAGCTAATGAAGGGTACTAGGATGAACTTGCTTTGTATTACCAACTTTCTCACTTTGCTTTACGGAAGCATACTGTGTAAGCAGTGACTTCCAGGGCGGGGACTATGGTGAGACGAGCAAGCTGCCAAGAATGCAAAGATTTGAAGAGACACTCATTCTTTAGTGTTCATGCAAATGCTAACTCTGAGTGTCTTCTTAAATTTTATACCCTTGGCACTTTGTATTTCCAGCTCTGGTAGCTACATTTATCCTGTCTTCAGGGTATCATTCAACACCACTACTACCCCACATATTGCAAACAGCTTTACATTTTTCCAAGTACTTTCACATACTTTAGCTCATGCATCCTTGAGGCAATCTGGTAAGAGCAATAGTCATTTAAGAAATTGTTGTCCATGTCAGACATTTCTCAGGTAATCATTGACTACACCGCCAGCAGTCTAGTCTGTATATCTGACTTTTCTTAAGATTCCTTACTCCGTGGAGCCTCTAATCCTGTGCTTTTGTGTCCTGAGCTGTGTTGTAGTGGTGGTACAAACTTTCCGAGACCTGGTGTGGTTGTGCCCTCAGTGTACGGAAGCTGTGTGTCAGGCCCTGCCCGGCTGTGAAGAGAACATCCAAGATAGCGAGGTAGACTACTTCTCTTTTATATCTGGGCAGAGGGAGAATGCTCAGGATGCTGCTTTGGGAAATGAATTCTAATCTGTCTTTCTATCCACTGTCTGAAGTGGAAATTCTTAGAATTGATTGCCATCTCAGATTCTTTTTTGGGTGTAGATGAGATATAAATTATAAATCATTAGGATTTATCTGATTTTTATTATAGATATTTTGATACCATTGTCCTCTTGGACTGTTTTGAGTCAGAAACTCAGTCCCTGGAATTTTCAGCTGCAGTGAAAATCAGAATCATTTGTGGAATTTTTACAAATATTTGGCTTCACTACAGGTCTACTGACTGAAGCAGTCAGGAGGGCTAACCTAAACACATATTTTTAAGATGCTTCAGCGATGACTCTGATGTGCTATGTTAATCACTACTTAGAGAAATCTTTCAGTAGCTTCCACTAAAACATTAATTCCCAATGGGGACAGAGGCCTCAGAGCTGAGGAAGCCTTATTGCCTAAACAACATTAGCTATGAGATCTCCTTTGTGTAGTAGAATTTCACATTGTGGGGGGTTGGTACAATGCAGGTTGCAGTAAACACAAGAGTATAATTAGGTATGACATTAGGGGAAAAGCAAAACCTGCAGCTGTCTGCTGTCCCCTGTGTTTGGGCAGCCAGGTGTCAAGCACCTGTTCTTACCCCTTCATCCCCTAGGGGAAGCAGGCACTTATTTGGCTACTTGGAGTCCATGGGGAAAACATCGCCAATGCTCCATATATATTGGAAGACTTTGTAGAGAACGTGAAGTCAGAGACGTTTCCAGCTGTTAAGATGGAGCTGCTCACTGCGCTGCTGCGCCTTTTCCTCTCACGACCTGCTGAGTGCCAGGACACGCTAGGGCGTTTGTTACATTACTGCATAGGTAGGTCCTTCAAAAGGAAGTAGTACTTGCACATCCAGTAGTAAAAAGCCTCACAGCCTTCTTTGTTTGGTAAGTCATGTCTGGGACCCAAGAAGAAAATGTTAATGTTTCCTCCCTCCTCCTTTTTTTCCCTCCTATTTTAGCTGGCATAGGGGTAGAAAAAGAGTGTTTTGTTTTGTTTTTAATTAACTCATCTGTTGTCCTACCTCAGAGGAAGAAAAGGATATGGCAGTACGGGACCGAGGTCTCTTCTATTATCGCCTCCTCTTGTCTGGCATTGATGAAGTTAAGCGGATCCTGTGTAGCCCAAAATCTGACCCTTCTCTTGGACTTTTGGAGGACCAGACAGAAAGACCTGTGAATAGCTGGGCCTCAGCCTTCAACACACTGGTGCCTGTATATGGCAAAGCCCGCTGGGCAGCCATATCTAAATGCCAGGGGGCAGAGCGTCATAATCCAGAGCTTCCTAACACTGCATCCTTTGCCACATCAGGTAAAGATAGTTCTTACTTCTATGTTGTCATGAAAAATCTTTATCTTTTGCAATGACTGGTAGAAGGTAGAGTACGCTAGCTTAATTTCAGACTGTTGCCTGAATTCCAAGTCTTTATAATCAAGAAAGTAGTTCATCATTGGTTATTTAAGCCATTTATCCAAAGGTAAATGTCACATTGTGTACTTTTGGAATCTAGGTAAAAAATGTTCCTGTAGATTAAAAACATCTCTTACTCCTGCTTTCTGTCTCTTAGGACCCCTGATTCCTGCAGAGAACAAGGAGAGGGTAAAAGAACTCCCTGATTCTGGAGCCCTCATGCTAATCCCCAATCTCCAGCTTACTGCTGAGTATTTTGAGAAAACCTGGCTTAGCCTCAAAGTTGCTCATCAGCAAGTGTTCCCTTGGCAGGGAGCAGTCCATCCTGACACCTTCCAGATGGCCCTGCAGGTAGTGAACATCCAGACCATTGCAATGAGTAGGGCTGGGGCTCAGCCATGGAAAGCCTATCTCAGTGCCCAGGATGATACTGGCTGTATATTCTTAACAGAACTGCTGTTGGACCCTGAGAACTTGGAAATTCAGATCTCTGTGAAACAAAACGAGGTGAGGACTGAGACACTGAACAGTTTCATTTCTGTATTAAAAACTGTGATTGGAACAATTGGAGCCGTAAAATCATAACAGGTTCTTGCTGCCTGTCTTGAGTGAGACAAATAGCTATCAGAGTTCCTTTTTTTTTTTTTTTCATTAGAACTGCTTGTAAGTCCAGATACTATGAAATGCGAAGGAGAATGGGAAATCTAGGAATCAGGATTCTTACATTTTTGTCTAAACCATTGATTTACTCCTTTCATAATTATTGGTGAATGACCCTGTTTTTCTGGGTGGTGTTGTAAAGGTTAATGTTGCTGGAAAGGGGACGGGAATGGGAGGATAGGATTTGGATTCTCTTCTAATCAGTTTTAGGGATTGTTTTACTAATTAAATTCCTGAAGTGTGTGGAAACTGATGGAGTCGTCATTTGTTGGGGTTATCTTTCCTTCCTTGGATAATTGCAGTGAATTCCTTACTGTTCTCATATTTCTAATCATGCTTTTATGTCCCAGTCCAAAGTCTTTAGTGTGGTACCTCTTCAGTGTCTTGTCTCACCACTTCCCAAACACTTTCTGATCTGGCAAAAGCAAACCACTTTGAGTTCCCCGAATGCACTAAGCTCTCTCCTCTCTGTGCTCTAGCACTTGCTTTTATATCTTGCCTAGAACATTTCCTTACCCTCATACCTTATTTATTGAAGTAACACCTAGTCTGTCTCAATGTTCAGCTCAGTCATGGACTTTTTCTGGAAGTTTTCTGTGACCCTCACTGCCGTCATTAAGGGTCTCACTCGGGCTGTCAGAGCAGTCAGTGCATATCTGGCAGCATTATTGTGATTGTTTCCTTGTCACTCTTCTTTACTTTTAATTTTATTCAGACCTCACCAGATTTATACATTAGTTGAGACAACTTACGGCAAGAACAGATGAAATAAAATGGTAGGAAAGTATAAATAACCAGAGACTCCACAACTGGGAAAATGCAAATACCAGTTAAGACCAACAGGGTTAGGGATGGAGGAGGACACAAATGTTTAGGCTGAAAGGGCCTATTGTTTGATAGAGTTGAGCTTGAGATTTAGCTCTGTCAGTGATTTGGCAGTCAGAGTGAAGAGAAATAATGATATAGTTGTCATGGGAGAGAAAGAAACATTCCCATTCTAATTTCTGAAAAATTTACATGTAGTTTCATATAGGTGACACTGAGTATGATATGTATAAGATTCCCATGGGTTTCCCAAGATATGGTATTCTTTAATGAAAGCAGAGAGCATGACTTTCACATGGAGCTCAGTGGGAACATTTCTTCAAGGATGTAAGATAGCATAGTCCAGATATCCAGCTTTACATAAATCAACTGCATATCCTTCAAATAATTCATCCATCACCTCTCCCAACTAGGCACTTAATAGGAGTAGATAACATGCCGTATTGAATTTTCTGGCAAAGGCCTAGGTTTTGTGAGTTGTTTGTCCCCCAGTGGACAATTTCTAAGGACAGTGATTGTCTTTCCTTCTGTCTCTGCAGTGCCTGCCACATAGTGCTTACTCAATATGTATTTATTGAATGGATGGCTGTGAGTGATTAGATTCTGATGTTGTTAGGGGATTGGTGTTTGAAGTGTGTTTTATTATATTGCATCAACTATACAAAAAAACATAGATGGGTAAGATGAATGATGTCTAAAGATCTAATGTAAAATATCCTCACTAGAGTTGACAACATTGTATTGTATAATTGAAATCTGCTAAAAGAATAGAACTTAAATAAAATTTATTGGAGATCAATTCAAGATGGTGTCATGAGAGTTGAGACAGAGAACTCCTCCCAAAACCACATATAGTACAAAAATATAGTTAATACAACTAACCCTAAAACAGCAACAGGAAAGAAGGTTGCAACAGACCGCATGCACCTGGAGAACAGAGCAGACCTCACGAAACAGGGTAATACCAAAGCCTTGATCTGGTGGGACCCAAACCCTTTGCTAACCCCAGCTCACCGGCAGGAGGAAAAGAAATGGAGCAGGGAGGGGGTGGAAGGCAAGAACTGCTGAACACCCAGCCCTGGAGATCTGCTTTGGAACAAACCTACATTTGTGGTGCTCTGGAGGTTGATGGGGTTGAGGAGCTGGGACAGGTAAGAGTGCTTGAGAGACTGAGATTCCGGCCATTTGTGGAGGACCGGGATCCACATCTGGCTGCTTTGTGACAAAGGAAAGGCGGGCAGTCTGAGAGGCTTCCTAGCAGCAGCAAGAGGGCTGCTGAAGGGGTGGGGTTTGCACAGAACTTGCTGCACAGGAGAAGGGATAGGTGGACAAGGTTGTCTGGGCACAGTCTGCCTAGCAGGTTGGGAACTTTGAGGAGCTTCAGTGCTCCACCCCTCTGACTGGCTACTCAGTTCCAAGGCCCCCCACTGCTGTGCCTTCCTCCAGGCCTGCCAGGACTGGCTTGCAAACAAGCAGTCACTGTGCTGGCTGGCATCAGGACAGCCAGAGGGAGGCTCCGCCTATAACAGCTAGAGACACAAAGCACAGAGGACAACACCTGTGTGCTTGGCCCACTGGCACTGACCACTGGAGACAGGGACTGCAGCTTGGAAACAGCAAACAGCTCTTTCCTTCCCCCAGGCACCAGTGACAATCCCCTGTGACCCCCAACCTCACTTCAGAGGCTCAGCAGCTCCAGAGACTAGAGCTTCTGGGCACTAGAGAGCACCACATAGAAATATGAAAAGTCAAAGGAACCTCGTTCAGACCAAAATCTCACTAACCCCAGAAAAAGGACCAAATGAAACAACTCACCAATCTTTCTGAAAGACAGTTCAAAATAAAAAATCATAAACATGCTCATGGAGGTACAGAAAAATACTCAAGACCTCAGGAATGAATGTAAGATGGAGATTCAATAATTAAGAAATTCCATATCTGAAATGAAACATACAATGGAGAGATTTAAAAGCAGATTAGATGTAGGAGAAGAGATGGTAATGGAATAGAAGTCAGAGAAGAGGAATACAAAGAAGCTGAGGCACAGAGAGCAAAAAGGGTCTTTAAGAATGAAAGAATATTGAGAGAACTGTGTGACCAATCCAAATGGAACAATACTTGCATTATAGGGGTACCAGAAGAAGAAGAGAGAAAAAGGGAAAGTGTCATCGAGGACGTAATTGCTGAAAACTTCCCCAATCTGGGGAAGTAGATAGTCTCTCACGCCATGGAGGTGCACAGATCTCCCAACACAAGGGACCCAAGGAAGACAACACCAAGACATATAGTAATTAAAATGGCAAAGATCAATGATAAAGACAGACTTTTAAAAGCAGCTAGAGAGAGAAAAAAGATCACATACAAAGGAAAACCTATAAGGCTATCAGATTTCTCAACAGAAACCTTACAGGTCAGAAGGCAGTGGCATGAAATATTTAATGCAATGAAGCAGAAGCGTCTTGAACCAAGAATACTCTACCCAGCAAGGTTATCATTTAAATTTGAAGGAGGGATTAAACACTTTTCAGATAAGGAAAAGCTGAGAGAATTTACCACTCACAAACCACCTCTCCAGTGCATTTTGAAGGGTTTGTTATAGATGGAAGTATTCCTAAGGCTAAATAGCTGTAACCAGGGAAAATAAAACCACAGCAAAGTAGAACAATTAATTACTAAGCAGATGCAAAATCAAATAAACTATGCCCAAAGTCAATTAAGGGTTAGAAAAGAGTACAGAATTTGACACCTAACATATAAAGAGTGGAGTACAAAGAAAAAGGAGAGAAAAAAAAAAAACCTTTAGGTTGTGTTTGTAATAGCATAATAAGTGAGTTAAATTAGGCTGTTAGATAGTAAGGGAATTGCCCTTGAATTTGGTAACCACGAATTTAAAGCCTGCAATGGCAATAACTACATACATATCAATAATCACCCTAAATGTAAATGCTCTGAATGCACCAATCAAAAGACATAGAGTCAACAAATGGATTAAAAAAACAAGACCCATCTATATGATGTGAACAACACTCACTTCAAACCCAAAGACATGCACAGACTGAAAGTAAAGGGATGGAAAAAGATATTTCATGCAACTAATAGGGAGAAAAAAGCAGGAGTTGCACTACTTGTATCAGACAAAATAGACTTCAAACCAAACAAAATAACAAGAGACAAAGGACATTACACAATGATAAAAGGGTTGGTACAACAAGAGGATATAGCTATTATAAATATCTATGTACCCAACACAGAAGCACCTGGATATGTGAAACAAATACTAAAAGAATGAAGGGGGAAATAGAATGCAATGCAGTCATTTTAGGAGATTTCAACACACCACTCACTCCAGAGGACACATCAACCAGACAGAAAATAGGTATAGAAACAGAGGCACTTAACAACATATTAAAACAGATGGACCTAACAGATATCTACAAAACAATCCATCCAAAAGCAACAGAATACGCATTCTTCTCAAGTGCGCATGGAACACTTTCAAGAATAGATCATATACTAGACTACAAAAAGAGACTCAGTAAATTCAAAAAGATTGAAATTGTACCAACCAGCTTCTCAGATCACAAAGGTATGAAACTAGAAATAAATTACACACAGAAAATGAAAAAGCCCACAAACACATGGAGGCTTAATAACATGCTCCTAAATAATCAATGGATCAATGACCAAATAAAAAGAGTTCAAGCATTATATGGAAACAAATGACAACAATAATTCAACACCACAAAACCTGTGGGATGAGACACATTAAAAGATGCTCCACATCACTAGTCATCAGAGAAATGCAAATTAAAACCACAATGAGATATCACCTCACACCAGTAAGGATTGCCACCATCCAAAAGACAAATAACAACAAATGTTGGCAAGGTTGTGGAGAAAGGGGAACCTTCCTACACTGTTGGTGGGAATGTAAATTAGTTCAAACATTGTGGAAAGCAGTATGGACGTTCCTCAAAAAACTCAAAATAGAAATAACATTTGATCCAGGAATTCCATTCCTAGGAATTTACCCTAAGAATGCAGTAGCCCAGTTTGACAAAGACATATGCACCACTACGTTTATCATAGCACTATTTACAATAGCCAAGAAATGGAAGCAACCTAAGTGTCCATCAGTAGATGAATGGATAAAGAAGATGTGGTACATATACACAATGGAATATTATTCAGCCATAAGAAGAAAACAAATCTTACCATTTACAACAACATAGGTAGTGCTAGAGGGTATTATGCTCAGTGAAATAAGCCAGGTGGAGAAAGACAAGTACCAAATGATTTCACTCATATGTGGAGTATAAGAACAAAGAAAAAAACTGAAGGAAGAAAACATCAGCAGACTCACAGAACCCAAGAATGGACTAACAGTTATCAAAGGTAAAAGGATTGGGGGGGATGGGTGGGAAGGGAGAGATAACGGGGGGGGGGTAGAAAAGGGGCATAACTATTAGCAAACATAATGTAGGGGAGGGGCACAGGGAGGGCTGTACAACACAGAGAAGACAAGTAGTGATTTTACAGCATCTTACTACACTGATGGACAATGACTGTAAGGGAGTATGTGGCAGGGGGGGGACTTGGTGATGGGGGAAGTCTAGTAAACATAATGTTCCTCGTGTAATTGTAGATTAATGATACCAAAACAAAAATATAAACAAAAAAATCTGTGGGACTCAGCAAAGGCCATGCTAAGAGGGAACTATATTGCAATACAGGCATACCTCAGGAAAGAAGAACAATCCCATATGAATAGTCTAAACTCACAAATAAGGAAACTAGAAAAAGAAGAACAAATGAGGCCCAAAGTCAGTACAAGGAGGGACATAATAAAGATTAGGGTAGAAATAAAATTGAGAAGAATAAAACAATAGACTCAATGAAAGCTGGAGCTGGTTTTTTGAGAAAATAAACAAAATAGAGAAATGCTGAGCCAGAGTTATCAAGAAAAATAAGAGTCTATACACAAAAACAGAATCAGAAAGGAGAAAGGAAAAATCACAATGGACTCCACCAAAATACAAAGAATTATTAGAGAATATTATGAGAAATCATATGCTAACAAACTGGGTAACATAGGAGAAATGGACAACTTTCTAGAAAAATACAACCTTTCAATGCTGACCTAGGAAGAAACAGAAAATATGAACAGACCAATTACCATCAAGGAAATTGAACTGGTAATCAAAAACTACCTAAGAACAAAATTCCTGGACCAGATGGCTTCACTGCTGAATTTTATCAAATATTTGGTGGAGACCTAATACCCATCCTCCTTAAATTTTTCCAAAAACTAGAAGAGGAGGAATATTCCCAAACTCATTCTACAAGGCCAGCATCACTTTAATACCAAAGCCAGGCAAAGACACCACAAAAAAAGAAAATAGGTAAACCCTGAGCCAGATTTATCAAGAAAAATAAGAGTCTACACACATAAACGGAATCAGAAATAAGAAAGGAAAAATTATCGTTAGTGTATAGGAATGCCAAAGATGTAGGAATTCCCTGATGAATATAGATGCAAAAATACTCAACAAAATATTAGCAAACAAAATTCAAAAATACATCAAAAAGATCATCCATCATGACCAAGTGGGATTAATCCCAGGGATGCAAGGATGGTACAGCATTCGAAAATCCATCAACCTCATCCACCACATCAACAAAAAGATGGAAAATATCCACCTGATCATCTTCATAGATGCTGATAAAGCATTCTAAAAAATTCAACATCCATTCATGATAAAAACTCTCAAGAAACGTGTATAGAGGTCATGTACCTCAACATA